GACAATCACTTTTTGCACTTTTTTAAATTTATTAATTTATATTTTATATATATTGTTCTTAATAGATGCTGCTTGTATAATATATGTTGTTTGTATATCTGGAGTAACAAAAATAATTTCCCCCTGGGATTATTAAAGTATTTCTGATTCTGATATTGTACATTTATCTGATACATTTAGTTACTAATTACTACGAATGAATAATGCTAAATATTATAAACAAATAAATTATAAAGATTGGATATTATTGATCCCTTGGTGAAACTGACAAGCTACCCAGCAATATTCTGCATTATTGTAATTCGGGTATGTTTTTGTTGTACTTATACTATACATTTGAATGTAGGACTTTCACTTGTAACAGAATATGTCTTCACTGTGGTATTCATATTTTTATATAAGTAAAATAGTATGATCTAATTAGCCTTTAAAATTTCACCTAATCTCTTAAAATCTAAAGATTATATTAAAAAATAGGATTTTTAAACCTTTGGTAGATTGTTTATTTATTTATTTATTTATTTATACATAACTGTGACACACAGGCACTTGATTATTTGTCTCATTTTATCCTAAAGTGCAATAGGCTCTTAATTCAGTTAGACAGTTATTTTTTATTTGATGGGTTTGTATGACACATTTATTGGCAAGGGAAATAAAGAGGCAATAAAGTAAAACAGTCCAGTAAAATAGAGTTTATAAAATGAATAAAATGCTGCTTTCTCTTACATCACCAGCAGAGGGAAGCATTGATCTTCCCATCACTGTTGCAAAGCTGCTCACCAGCAGGAGTATGTGGTGACTTTCTTTCTTTCTTGAATTTAGTGATTAAAAGAGGTTTGCGGTATTTCTACTTTACTTTTGTTTGCTGTTGCTGAGCAGCTTCTCTGTCGGTCAGAAACGTACTGAAGTATATTTTTCTATTAGCTGTGCACACTCAGTAACTGTAACGAGTAAAAAAGTAAAACTAGTTCCCAAATGTTCCCAAAGTGATAACATTTATGCTTCTTAAAGTGCAGAATTTCTGCATGTACTTCACAATGTGTTGAGGTAAACCTATGTTCTAGTCATGTATGCTTTAGGTCCTTTAAACTATGATGTTGCATAGCAACAAGTCCCTTTGCAGCCATGTTTGTTGTGATGATCATAGTAACAGTGAGGGCCGCTCAGGGTTGTATAGGAAGAGTGCAGAACAGAGCCCTTTGAATTCTGGGAAATTTTCCGGTTCTAAGATGGACCTGTGAAAACATAACTTTAAATCTCTCTGATTTAGTGGATTTCTTTATGTTTCTGATTTGTGTAAAAAAGCACCCTAAGCCTCACCCAAGTTCAAGTCTAGTAGCTACAATATGTGTTTCTATAAATATGAGTAGTTGCAAACATCTTATTGCCAATATTTATTATTATATAAAATAAACTTGTGGTTTAGACACTTAGACAATGTTATGAGTCTAAATGTAACTGCGTTTTTAATGGTATGAATCTTACTTGCAATGAAACAGATTAGAAAGCTTTAGAAATGTTGTCCATTCCATCACCTCAAAGGGAAATTAATCACATCCTGCTGTTTAGTGTGCACTCAGGAATGTACAACATGCTTCCAGTATATGGCCATTTCTTATGATTCCTGCGTGTCAGTGTGTGCCTGGAGAGCGTGTCTGTTTGTGAACACTGTGGCGAGCCTAGAAGGCCAAATGTTATATCACTGTGGGGCCAGCAAGAGTCAGTATTTCTCTGTCCCCCCTGTTATTTTTCACTCGCCTTCGATTCAATTAGCAGGATGCCCCCAAAATACAGAGTCTCCTTAGTCCCACCTCAATGTTTTTAGATGGGTTATGGCCTACTTAGACACAGATATCTGAGATATCTGAGTGGTATGCAGATGGCTTTAGTTATGTGAGTTCAGACATGAAGTCTAGAGCAGACAGGATTCCAATTGCTTGGCATACAGAACACAATTACTTACTCTGACGTTCAATAAGAGGCTGAAAGATCTGGTTCATCTGTTCCATTAAACAGTTACATCAAACCAAACTGAACGAGTCTCCCACAGGCAGCGATGACCACATCACTCAGTCAGCTGGGAATAAACAGACATACTCCCAATGACTGGTTCTTGTGACTCATACCACCAGGCTGAACTGGAGTCCTGGAGGGCTGATATGACACATTATAGAAGAACTTCAACTAAAACCTGAACTGATGGTACATGGTAATGTAATGTATTAACCAAATGTGGAAACATGTAAGGAGCACCTTGAAATTCTTTTTCCCACTCTGTATGTCATATGCTCTGTATGTTCCAGCACTTCATGCAACCATTAACACATTTAAATCCACTTGTGTATTAAAATCCAAAAAACAAAATGTATTTCTGGTTGCAACATTACATTAAATAAAAGAATTCTAGATGCCACGTGCATCATTTTATACACGTCACTCTCATTCAGCCATGCAGGCTAAACTTCTGCATGTACACATTGAAAATAAAGTTCTGAGACTCTCTACAGAGTTCAGCTGTGTTGATTTGCAATGACAGACCCTAGAGTGGGCCCAGTGTAGGCGAAGGGCTGCATAAAATGTCAGTTTTTAAGCAAGCAGGAGGCAAACAGCCTTGTACAGTTAACTGAAACCAGCACAGTGTATGAAGCAGAGGCCTCTCTCCATCTGCAGGAACTGGCCAGCAGGAGCAAGAGAGCATTTGGCCTCTGGGGGCTGATTGCCAGCTGCCCCACTCCTCTTCTACCCCGCCTCTTGTGCTATCCATGTCCACTGCAGCACTGTACACTTCAGGCTCCCTGGGGCCCGGGGCTCCAATCACAGATGCAGGCTCTCACCTCCCCTGCCTGTGTGCTCACTTTTCTGGCTCCCTCCTTCTCTCCGCCTGCAAGTGTGCCTCTCAATTGTAGAGGCTGGCTCACTCTTCAGGATTCAGGCTGCAGCGATGCTGGAACTCTTGGCCATGCTCATGGATCCATTTGTTTGCCACTGGAATATACAGAAAGACTATGTTTTAATATCTGAATAAAATGAAGCATAACGTTCCCGTGCCTTTTAAAGCTTTGGATAATTGTTTAGAGTCATAACATTAATTTCTGATAATATATGGTTCCTAGAAACAACACAGACACCTAAAGCTTCTGCAGCTGCTTTATTATGATTAATATCCTTCTGTTAGTTTAACTGGGTCCCTAGCACATGGTTCAGCGCTGGGAGTTCGATGTTTTGGGCCAACCAGCAGCAGATGTTAAGCTTCCAAGATGAACACTCAGTGTCTCAACTGCACTCTGTAACATCTCTAAATGCATAATGCAGCACACATGTGGCCTGCCTTTTGTACATTAGCTTCTCTATAACAGATGAGCTGAACACAAACAACAAACAGACCACGATAATCCTAAAAAAAACCTCCTAATCTGTTTTAAAAAAGAACAAGGAGTCTGATAAATTGCTGTTACTTGCTATTTTCCACATTCACGTCACAGTTGGCTCCTATTGACAGCAACATCACATCATACTGAATCTACTGACTCTTACCCCATTTGTCCCCAATAAGCACAGGACAGCCTGCATGCAGCGTGTCTACGTCTCCTTGACCGTTTCTGTGGAGATTCCACCAGAAGATAGCAGCTTTCTGTGAGGTGAAAAACAACATAAATCACTTTCACTAAGTTTCGTCTAAACTAAGTAACTAACTATTGATTAGTCAGTTATTTTCTTGATTAATCGAATTATCGTTTGGTATATAAAATGTCAGTAAGTAGTAAAAAATGCCCATCCAAGGTGATTTCATCAAATCTTTTGGGTTTGTTTTGTCCAACAGTCCAAAAGAAACTCAGTTTACTATAAGATGCAGAAAAGTATCTCCATTAAGCTATAACTAAGGTTTATTTGTCATTTTAAATTTTCATATAAAATTTAAATTGCGCTAAAATACAAATCGATTATCACAATAGTTAACTACTACTTTTACTTTTCTATTGATCGACTAGTTCAGCTTTAATGTAAAGGAGCTCCTGCAGTTACAGGATTTTATTGGTCAATTTTATGGGGTTTTATGTTCAGTTCTATCCACTGAATAACTTCCATTATAAAGAGCCAGGTGAGAACTCAATAAAATGAAAGGTGTAAGGTTAATGGCCTGGTAAATTTCTCACTGAAGCTTATTTATCAACCGAATAATCAGCTTCAACCTTCGCTGAGGCTCCACTCTACAATAGCAGTATTGTGGCAAAGAATCTCACAGCTGTTGTTGCTACGATCTGACCTTTCAGCATTTTGACAGCTGCATCAGAGAATGCGAGTGAGGAGAAAATAATCTATCTTGAGTCAAAAATGACACGAAGATGAAAGAAGCAGCTTTTTAGCTCATTGTGAGTGTTTACCTCCACGACAGGAACACTGAAGTTGGCGTAGATGAAGGCTGTGGACCCACCTGCCTCGACAGAGCTCAGCTGTGGAAAAGGACATTCCTTCAGAGTTGTGTCTTGTGTTTACATGCTCATGTTATGAAAAGCCACTCTGTCTTCTTTGCAAACCCTTTGCAAAAAGGCCATTCTTTTTTTAATCACTATCCAATTATACCCAACTTTCCACAATGAGTTCTTAATGATAAGTTACAAAACATAAATGAATTAACAGAAATTCAAAGGCAGAAATGCAGGAGTAGGCTGTATAACGGAGGTCAGGGACACAAAATAAGAGTTTGGTTTAAGCTCATTGGATGACAGAACATCTATAAAAGTATAATTTAGGTAGTGAGGTCAGATCTAGTCAGAGTTTGTGAGGCAGGTTGTTCCAAAGTCTTGCTGCACTCATGGCAGAGGACTGACCTCTGTGTTTTTAATTAAAGCTTTGGAAAAGCAGGAACAGGAACCTGCCCAGAAACCTCTGTTTGCTATCTGGGTCATACAGGGTCATAGGATGGTTGGAGTAAGACTTCACTCACATATATCATAAAGGTTGCCACTCGATTCCCAGTTTTCAGCTTGAACACAGGACTTGTAGGTGACTGCAAAACAAGTTGATTTATCATTATTAATGTAAGCACAGACAACATGCAAAGACATATAATGAGCTACTTAAACAAATCAAACAATCAACCTACCGTAGCATGGTCAAAGTGAGGCTCATAATGGCCACCAATCCCATAATTCACCACCTGGAGGTACTCGCCATATGGATGCTTCACATTTAGACCAGTGAGTCTGGAGATCTTCTGGTCCAGCTTTCCAACAGTGGACTGCGCTGAGCCCTTCAGCCATGCACTAGAAAATAAGAAATACTGATTGCACTGCAGCAATGGTCCAGCCTGCTCCAAGAACTAGTTTGAATTAAATAATTGATGATAAACAGATTGTTATAAACAAAGTGTGGTTAAGTAATTTGTACCTCTTGCTGATGCGGTACTCAGCTGTTGCTTGTTTCTCTCCAGTTGCCACCACAGATCTTCTCAACTTAACAGCAAAGACAGAAAACAGCAATTTTATGTTTATGATTGTTACAGCAGCCAAGCTTTGATGTCCAGCTGCAAAGCACTGACAAAATGTGAGTAATAGCATGAAACCACACTCACATAAGACAAAACCACAAATGTGAATTCAAAAAGTGGCAAGAATACAATTTCAAAAGCTGCTGTGAGGACAAACTTCCATTATTCTTCCTTTCTTCAACTTCTTATCTTATTATTCTGACCACAAATTAGGCAAAAATGTGCACGGGAGCCTTTTTTTTTAGAGTTAAGATACCTTACTTCCTCTATCAGTATCAGTTTGAAGATCCATCACCTCAGAGTCTGAGTCTGGAAGGAAGTCTGGGGAAGTCCAGATGTTTTGCTGCACTGCACTTCTTAAAACTGAGCCTCTGTGATTTATTTGGAAACACACACTGCATTCTGCTTATTTCATACACGTTTTCCAATTTGCAGTGGGTGCACAAACTGGCACAGTGTTTTACGTAGAAAACCGGTCACGCAACATTTCTGATTAATTTTGCAGATCAGACTACTGATGAATTCCACAAGGGACATTACTTCATTCAACACATTCAGTGCTCACACAAAGCAGTTTCTAAAGAAGGAAACTGTTAATAAAAACTAAAAGAAAATTATTATTTCACACAATTCATCACCAGGAAACCAACACAATGACCGATCGGTTAACTCTGAACAACTGCTACTGTACATACTGGCTCCTTCCAATAAGGCTCTGGGATCCAGCGTGTAAACCGTGCACTCTGCTTCAGACTAATGCCATACCCCCGGCCTGTTTTTAATAAACCACAAGCTGACATAATGACGAAATAAATACAGGGGTTTCCATCTGAGCAGAGGATGGAAAACTCATTGAACAATGCCAAAACCTCACAGAAACTATAGGGCACCAATTGAGTTAGCCCACCAAATATTCCCTAAAATAACTGAGTCAGAGAATTGTGAGGACAGTGCACTGTAGCTTTCCATTTAATGAACAGAAACATCAGTTGCTTTCAGATAGATACTGAAGCTCGATGATAGTAGACTGAATATTTACCATTGGAGCCCAGCAGGGTAATTTGGATAGTTTGAGGGGCTTAGCCAAGTTTTCATAGTAATGTATCCCTCATTCCTTTAAGCCTTGCTAAATGTTTGGAAGCAGACCAACTCTCCCTCCATAAGGTCTTTCCAGGATCGTTGCAGTCGGAAAGGTACACGGTTGGCTTAGACCCCAGCAGCCCCACAGCAGAGCAGAGTAATATATGCATATTTAGGAAAGAATATTCTATATATAGGCACCTTTACTCTTAATACAAAAACAAATTTCAGTCCTTGTAGCACAATGTTGCCCCTTGATTTCAAACTAATTTTCCTTTACGATGCACTCATTGCAATGACAAACTATAACCATCAAACTGTATTAACTAATGTTTTAATAATGAGAAAATGTTCTTATTATGCAAAATGGCCCAATTCAGAGACTAACACTATCATACATGTTACTATTATATGATTATTGGATTATTATTATGAATGCATTCATTTGTAAGCAGTATTTTACTGTCGTAGCTGGTTGAGTTGGAGCTAATTTGCACTACGTTATATACTGGCAGTTTAGTCTATAACAATTCACATATGTTAGAGGCTGATAATATTTTGTATATAAAGTTTTAACCTGCAAAGTGCAACTAAAATGTTTTGTATAATACTTCCCAGTAGTGGAGGAGAAATAAAAGTGGCATAAAATAGAATTATTCAAGTAAAAGTACCTCAACTTGAGTAAATGTATTTAGAGACAAAGATAAAAGCTTTGTTCACAACTTTTTTAACAATTAAATACTGTATTGCCTCCAAAGAGCACAAACCCTCCGTGATGAAGTTGAGACAAACAGAACCAATGCAGATAAACACGCAGTTATGTTACAGGATGCTTAGAGTCAGAAGGCAAGAAAACATTAATAATAATGAGAGTGATTAAGCTGTAGTGGATGACCAGTATCATAAAGTGTGACACCTTATGAGTATTATTATATGAATCACTGCCTATGCAACTTGTACCATTGGACATTTACACTACTGTAGTGTGTGTCTATACTGAAGGCAGTCTATATAAGATGGACTCACACAGGGAAGTCCTCTTTAGGACAGAGGCCACAGTAAATATCTTTATTCGAGATTGCACTACAAGTGTAATGTAAAATTTTATAGTCCTGCTGAAAGGGTGCCAATTTCATTACACTTTTAATTTCAGAGAAATGGAAAACTAACATCTCAGCATCTGTCCAGGTGGCCTGAAGAAAATTAAACTGTGCCTGGAAACATCCTGAAATAATAGTGATAGCCAATATCAACAGAGGGCAATGTCTTGGCAGAAAGCCATAAGGACACAATATGTCTTAATTAAACAAACAATATCCCTGGTATTGTTTAATTGTAGGAGAAATCTGTTTACAAAAAGCCCTGATTCTTCAATGCGAGACTATGGTATAAGGTGCTCACATTGCAATACAAAAATGTTTTGTTTTCTACCATGGTTCTTCTATTCGTTAACTTCAACAATCTTCAGCAGACTCTCTTGAACTCTTGTGGTTGCCAAGAAAAAACTTTGCAGCTTCGCTTTTTGTGAGTCTCATGTGGAGGAAATAGCACAGCTCCTCCGTTTGTTGAGAACACTCGACAAAACAGAGATTACAGAACTACAAGGATCTAATTGGATAAACTAAAAATGGATGATTGTAAGAACATGGCTAATTTTTTAAAATTCCTAAAAAGCTGACATATTGGTGACACGTGTTGTTTGGTTTTGTTTTTTACCCACATGTGATGAGAGAAATTTCACACTGCTGGCACTTACTCCTGATTGGGCGAGCCCCTTGATGTCCTCAGCCTCTGTGTCCGTGATGAAGTTGTGGTACAGGACAACATACGGCTGCAGGCTTAACACTTCACGTCTTACCGGCAGCAGCAGCAGTCCAGGGTCCCCATTGGTGAAGTAGTCGCAGAATAGTCTGGGGTTTTTAAAATGCATTGGCTGCTAGGAGAAACAGCCGAGGTCCATTAAAAATATCAAAACAAGAATTGTTTTTCATCCGCAAACAATTACACTTTTTTGGGAAGGAAAACTCCAACTACACTCTTAATAAAGGTTGAAACTTGAGAACAAAGACAAATCTGTGACAAACTACTTGGAGCTGTTGAAATGATTTTATATTATTTTTTATTTTAAATACTTTTAGCAATGCTAGCTATGGGGTTTAAGAATGGCATTGGTGTTCTGTCCACTATGGTTCATCCTTAAATATCTCAATATAACAACTACTGGATTGATTGCTAATGAGTTTTTGTACAGACATTCATTGTCCCCAGAGGATGAAGCCTACTGATTTTGGTGATCATCAGCCTTTTACTCTAGCGTCACCACGAGGTTTAATTTGTCATTACCAAATATCTGCAAAACTTTACTTTGGTGCTAATTAGCAAATATTAGCACGCAAACACACTAAACTAAGGTGGTCAATGACATAATAAACATTATGCTTGCTAAACATCAACATGTTAGCATAGCACCACTGTGCCTAAGACTTAACATCCAAATGTGATTTATATAAAATAAATACTAAAAACAGAGCTGGAATAATAACACACAGGAAAATAATGATTTTCTTGAAGCCACTTTCTACATTTTCTACCTCTTTTATACACAAGTTGTGCCCTATAACATTACACATTCAGAGGAATGACATAATGCACTGTATATTTTTTTTAACATATACCCAAATGTACCATTACAGATCAACATCATTTGAACAAACTGGATCTATTGTTATGTCCCTGAAGGGATAGATGTGCTGTTGAAAAAACAAAGCTCCATGGCACATTTGGTTAGTATTATACAATTAAGAATATTCTGGTTCTTGTCCTAAATTATCCCTGATCCCTTTCAGATATTTTCCTAACACACTGTATGTGTTAAGAATTATTAAATGTGATAAATACCTGAGAGCCTTGGGTCTGGCAGAGTCTCTCGTAAGTGTCCCTGGTTCTTAAATAATTAGAGGTGGGTCTCCTCAGCCCATCGCCCCTGAGTGATTTGGGACTCGTAACCAGCAGCTTCTCGTATTTCTCAACATTCTGCAAAACTCTTCCATTCATTGGATCTGAAAAGAAATGCGTAAACAGAGTAGTCATACATTATAGGGCATTACAGGCTTCAGTTTAGAGAGGCAGGTCATGCTGTTCACAGAAATAAAGACGGTTTTCAAAGAACTGTTTACGCACAACAGACAGGATTAAGGGGAAGGGAGAAGTTAAATGGAAAGAATTACCATGATGCAGTAACTCCTGAGATAGACTGAGAGCATAAGAGATGTTTCCTGTCTGAAACAATGAGAGGAATTTAGGGCAGTGCAATCCACCAATCATCTTACAAATGTGCACTTAAGTGTTCTTCTTTGTACTTTAAAGTGAGAGAAGGCCAGATGGTCGAGAGCATCCTCCAAAGTCCCCTCATTCTCTGGGCTCCACTCGCCTCCTGTTCCCCTGAAGAGACGCACAGACTCCTCTAACCACTGCACGGAGTGGTAGTAGTCTTCCTGCTCGTAGGCCACCTGTGTAAAATAAAACCCTTGTTACTTTTTTAATTACTACTGAGAATCATTCTGAACGCGGAGTGTTGACACACTCAGCTGTCTTCTGGCACTAGACTGAAGAACCAAATGTCAGCTGGCTCTGGTTCATATACATGCATGGTTGCCAGATTTGGATCAGTTTTAGGGAGATGAACTGATTTTAGCTAAGAATCCACATCCAGTTAACTGGTTAGCTGTGAGCCCGCCAGAATCAGACCAGTTTCTTCAGCCAATTCTATCACGTCATTCAGCTGGCATGATGTTGTCACCCAAGCGTGCCAGCTTTAGGCTGCCTTTGAATTTAATTCCGAAAATATGGCATTACCCAGTGATGGCAGGCAGGAGGAATGCAGAAGTGTGATGTGAAATAAAGCAGACGAAATTTAACTTTTGGATTTTGTACCCTTTTAACAAGTGATTATTTTTGATGCTTTTTGTGTGTGACTGGCTGTGTTTTTATTTCTTGGTCTTGATCCTAATGAGATTACCTGATTAAATTAAAGTTCTAATGACAGAAGCATTAATTGACTTAATGTTTTCTGCCCATTTTCACCTTGACTTGGTCTCATCCAGGGCTGCAACTCATGATTTCATTATTGATTAATTGGTTATTTGAGTAATCTGTTTAAAAATGCTTTACCAGAGCCCAAAGTAATATCTTCAAATTACATATTTCTTTATAGACATTATATTTAATATCATATAAGATGAAGAAAAGCAGCATATCCTCACATTTGAAAAGCTGGAACCAGGAAATATTTAGAAATATTTGGTTTAAAACAAATTACTGAATCGATTTGATTATCAAAATAGTCTATTCATTTTCTGATGTACTTGTTGATCAATTGACTAAATCTTGCAGTTTTAATCTCATTGGATAAAAAAACCAAAAACAAAGTAATACTTTCTCTGCCTGGCTTATTGTCATACATGTTCTCTGCAGCTTGTAAATTTAACAGATTACACCTGTCTGATTTCTCAAGCAAGTACATTATGGATTGAACTACACCACGTCTGTTGATCAAAGAACACCTTGAGCATTATTTTTACACTAAGAAAGTCACGAACACTGGCTGCAGTCTCTCTCTTTACCTGGTCTCAAACCCCTTTTGTAGCTGACTTGACTTGATTAAGTAGGTGCTGACTACAGGCCTGACAGCACCCACACAGAAACAGGGTGACATGTGGCTCCTCCCATCACAGATTATATCCACAACTCCTCCAGACCACACACAAACAAAAATTCCAGTGTACCGTTTAACCCCACAAACTCAACTAATCACACACACCGACTCATGTATCAACCCAATCACTGGTTTTATACCCAGTTCACAACATTACACCCCATAATTTGGGAGTTAGTCTTTAAAGAAGCAATAAATTCTTAAAAATAGAAAATATCAGGCAGATCTCAGTATTTCCTGAGGGAAGGTAAGCTGTAAAAACCCTTCAAATGAAATAGACATGGTACAAACTTCCTCCTTACAAACCCTGGTTTTGAGGACCAGTTTAACAGCCATATAAAAGCACGTGCACGCAGGTCTTTTACTGACAACACCAAGCATCTCTGTTTACAGACTGCCTCAGATGATCTCAGCCTGACTACAAGTGAAGGCAAGCTCTGCCCTTCGCTCCTAACGCTTCTGCTGCGTGAGATAATGTCTTTTCCATACAAGACGATTCTCCCACACAGTGCCCTGCCCTTACACATCACCACTGTACATAAACAGTGGAATTCATTGTGGGGAAACCTTTTTTTTCCTTTCATACTTATTTATCTTCACATGAAACAGATTCCCAGGCACGCAATGGGAAGAATTCCACTTTTTTCCAGGCTGACTGTCTGGATTCCAAACACACAATGACTGACAGGTTTGGGATAAAACTATTTTGCAGACCTTTGGAATCGGATGTTAATTAGGGAAGGGCATTTTCACATCAATATCTTCCACATATATTCTTTAAATATCTCTCCATTTCATTCAGAAAAGTGACCATGAAGGATGACAGATTTTCTGACTTTCAACACGCTCTCAACATGTTTTCTTGGTGTTAGGAAATACAGGTGAAAAATACGTACAAGTACAAGAACTGTAACATTTTGAAGTATTTGTACTTCACTACTTCCATTTAATGTTACTCTAGTCATCTACTTACACATTTTACAGGGAAATTTACTTTACAAACTGTAGTTATTAGTAAACCTGGGGTTCCCAACCTTTTTTGGCTTGTGAACCCTCACCATAAAAGCATGTTGGGATCTCCACTTCATGTTTCAGATGTCAGTTGTTAGCAGTTCCACCACAGAGACATTTCTCCTTTAAACTTCCCAGATGGTTTTATTTAAAAAAATGTTTGAGGCCCAAAAAGATAAAACTCTTGTTTCACAAGATTATTTTTTTTACTTTCCTTTCCCATCAAACCTCTTGCAACCCCTCAATCTTGGATTATGAATGCAGGACTTCTACGTGTAATGGAGCATTTTTAGATTGTTTTAGACTTCACACAAGTACACACTACTTCTTCCACCAAAGGAAATAAAGAGGAAAAACAATGGGAGGAAGCAATAAAGGGAAACACTTGATTATACCTTTCCAACCAGAAAGCAGTCATCACCAGACAAAGGGACAGACACTGTAGGCAGGTATATATCAATGGGCTTGCCATTAGTGACTCTCTGGAAACGACCCCTTACGAGGCTCGCAACTTGAAGAGCATACACGTCCTGCAGCCTCATCAGCCCCTTAGCGGCCCCCTGGAGGTCTTCCAGTTTGGGCAGATCTGCCTCTTTCTCCTCGTAACTGGACCTGAGGGCTGGACAGCAGAGGGCCAAAAGGTGAAGTGTGTGTGTGTGTG